ACGTTACTTTAAGCGGGATATATGAATTATAAATGTTAAATAAATATTTCCTTTGAGTGCTATTTTTGTATGTGTAAACTTGTGTTTTTACGGATTTTTATTTGCAAAAAAAAAATGGTTTTCCTTGAGAATAGAGAGTAGTTTCCAAACTTATAGTATTTATTAGCAAGTGGAAGATAAATGGAAGTTTGCGGATATTTCCTTTGGACCTCGTGAATGTCATAAATTATTTCAAACGAATGTGTGTGGACATGTACGTATTCGAGAACAGAAATGTGCGAGTTGGTCTTGACGCATGTTTGCATACTGTAAAAGTATCATCTACTCGGATAGGAGATTGTTTCACTGCCAACAGACACTGCGCTCCCGGGCAACGGATCCTTTTACGATTGTAAGTTAGTACTGGAAGGAGTGAAGCGCCGTGGTCAGATTGAAGAACTTTGGAATATGTTAGTAGACCCACCAAAGAAACCTAAGGGGTGAGGAAAAAATTCCTAGATAAATCGGCGAACTGCACGAAAAATATGGGAATGGAGCAGTTGTTTGTGGGGGAAGGTTTTAATGGAGGTAAATGGTCCTATATTCCATCTACACGGCTTCTCAAAGTAGGGTGATAAACCGATTGTAGAAATCGCTGATAGTTCGTCAAACGAGTGACCCTTTATGTGCATTCGCACACCTAGTCACCAAAGCTGGAACTTTTTTATTTTTTAATTTGAAATAATGTGTCTAGACTGTTTAACACTTCGGAGGAATTTTTTGTTTTTTTTCCTTTGAGAATGTATTTGTTCGATTTAAATGTATTCTCAGACGTTTTATAAACCTACTTTTGCCTTAATTACATTCTATCTCTAACAAAGATTTAGTAAATTTGCAATTGAGCTTTCTAAATCTCATTTTATTTTCTACTTTGCTTCTAATTGGTTCACTTTGGATTACACTTATGGTTTATATTGGTTCTTTGATGTTAGCTAAAGAAAAAGACTTAATCGCATAAGTTTATAGTGGAACGACGTATTTTACGGACTTTCTTCAAATTGGGAACAGAACACTTAAACCCGTCAAGACATCAACTCTTATTATAATTGGAAATATTTGGTTGGTGATTATACTGACTTTCCGAACGTCATTTTCTGTGCAATCTCCAAAACTTCACTTTATTGGCAGAGCACTGGGCTGGCTGTTAGGCTGCTGACCATCAGAACGCGTGTTTCATTCGTTTGTCCATGCACACGCCAATAAAAAGTGCTTGTTTTCAACCTGTAAATCATCTGAAATCAATGTTCTCAAAATCTAATTGTTAAGGTAGAATATTTTTTTAAAATCCAGACGGCTGTATAGCAGCTGGTCCGTGTAGAACTGGCCCTCACGTCGCAGCCATCCTTTTCGCGTCAGATTCATTGCAGTCATGGCTAGTAATCTTTTTACTCTCAGGCGACTTCTACATCAACCGATGAAAA